CCACACACACGTGTACACATGAAAGTGTTACGCACACGCATCTCTCTGTATGTAGATATCTCTGGGGTGTATGTATATGAGTATATCTAGTGGCCTTCGGCCCAATTCGCCACTGCCTGGGTTGTTTGTCAGAGTTCTTCTCGGATTTGGAGTCGCTTTCGTGCCTCTCGGGTGCCTCTTTGGGGCTTCCTACGGTCCTGTTGGTCGTCTCGGAGGTCGTCTTGGGGCGGAGAGCTCGACATGTCGGTTCGTGCCCCCTTGCTCTGGGGTCCCTCTTGGCCCGTCTTTTGGGCCCTCTTGGGGCCCTCGTTGGGCCCGCTTGGGCCGCATGGGGGCCCTCTTATGGGGGCCTCTTGGACCGTCTGGTTGCGATCTTGGGGGCCTCCTGGGTTGTCTTTAGCGCTGGGAGCCCGAAAAGAAATAACGCTGGCATCCTTCAGCAGCCTCCCGAACATCCGTCGTTTTGGCCTCTCGGGGCTCTTTGAAGTGCTACTGCAGCCCTCTTCGAGCGTGTTGAAGTGTCGTGGGCCATCTGGAAACCGTCTTGGGCGTCTTGGAGAGATCTTTCGGCGACTCGAGGCCCTCTTGGACCGTCTTGGGGGCCGGTCTCTCGGGGGCCTCCTGGCCTGTTTCGGGGCCCTCCTGGTCAGAGAAATCCGCGCGAGAACACAAGGGGAGACGCCAAGCGCCCCATGGGATTTGAGAATTGTTGGTCCTATCATTCATTCACCGAGGATTGAGGACGAATGCCTCCAAACGGCCTGAGGACACTCCTCCTCGTGCCTCAGGGCACGGTGGTGGATACACGTATACACATGTATGTGTGTTTGTGTGCGCATGTATCTATTTGTGCGTCCACATATATACATACACATCAATATAAGAACACGCGTACACCTGCATCTGACTGTATACATGTATAGTCACATGTATATGTGTATGTATAAGCGTATGCATGTGTGCAGGTGTTTGCAAAGGGATGTTTAAATATGTGCGTGTGTATAAGTATACGTATGTCTACATCTGATCGTGTTCACGTGCATGCACATGTACATGTATGGTCCAGGGCTTGGGCCCCCCCCCCCTCCCCCCCAATACTGATGCCATTGGGCCCCCCCCCCGCGCGATGGTCCCCCCTCCCCCTGTGGGCGTGGCGTGGTGCTGCGCTGCGGTGCCCCCTTCCCCCCCCTGTGGATGTGGTGTGGTGCTGTGGTGGTTCAGAGGTGGGCGTGGCGTGGTGCTGCGCTGCGGTGCCCCCCTCCCCCCCCCTGTGGATGTGGTGTGGTGCTGTGGTGGTTCAGAGGTCGTCGTCGTCGTCGTCGTCGTCGTCCTCGTCGTCCTCGTCGTCGTCGTCGTCATCGTCGTCGTCGTCGCCGTCGTCATCGTCGTCATCGTCGTCGTCGCCGCCGCCGCCGGCGTCGTCGCCGCCGCAGCCGTCGTCGTCGTCGTGGTCGTCGTCGTCGTCGTCGCCGTCGTCGTAGTCGTCGCCGTCGTCGTCGTCGTCATCGTCGTCGTCGTCGTCGTCGTCGTCGTCGTCTCTGGGACCATACCATCTGGGGGGCGGGGCCCGAGGAATCCTGGGACCATGCCATCTGGGGGGGGGGGCCCGTGGGCCCGGAGCTGGTGATCATGTATATGTATACGCAGCACCCCGCAATTGCGGATAAGAGTGAGGGGGCGGGCGCGGGCGACGCGGGCGTCGTCGAGCCGGCGGACCTCGTGGCCCCCACCTTCCCTGTCGATGGCGCTCCTCCTCCTCCTCCTCCTCCTCCTCCTCTTCCTCGTCCTCGTCCTCATCGTCATCGTCATCCTCCTCCTCCACCTCCTCCTCCTCCTCTTCTTCCTCGTCCTCCCTCTCCCCCCCTCGTCCTTTCATCATCGTCCTCCCATTGTCGTCCTCCCCCTCATCGGCCTCCATCATCGTCCTCCCATTGTCGTCCATCATCATCATCCTCCCCCTCCTCCCCCTCCTCGTCCTCCTCCTCCCCCTCCTCCCCCTCCTCCCCTCCTCGTCCTCCTGCTCCTCCTCCTTTTCTTTCTCCACATTATCCTTACATCCTCTCTTCTTCCGCGTTCTCCTCGTCCCCTGTTTACTCCTCCTGCCTCCCCCTCTTTTCCCAAGATAACTGCAACGCAATCCTTTTTTCCACTTTATGCTCCCCGCCTTCTCTGATCAAGGCAACTCGCCAGGGCAGAGTTGCTGGACGGGCTGGTGTGGATGCGCGGGGCTTGAAGAGGTCCTTGCGGGCTCAGACGGCATGCGAAAATCCGCCGCCGCGCTTGTGCGGCATTGGTTTGTTCAGTGAACGTGGTTTAGGTCGCGGGTGGGTCGCGGGCTCTCCACCTCCACTTGGAAGGAATGCAAAAGCAGCCCGCCGCAGGCGCCAAAAAAATGTTTGTACACTGAACGTGGTTTGGGTCGCGGGTGGGCCGCGGGTTCTCCACCGGGAACGAATGCAAAAGATGCCCGCCGCAGGCGCAGAAAAATGTGGTTTGTACCCTGAACGTGGTCGCGGGTGGGCCGCGGGCTCTCCACCTGAAACGAATGCAAAAGATGCCCGCCGCAGGCGCCGAAAAATGTGGTTTGTACCCTGAACGTGGGTTGGGTCGCGGGTTGGTCGCGAGTTGGTCACGGGGTGGGTCGCGGGCTCTCCACCTGGAAGGAATGCAAAAAAGCCCGCCGCAGGCGCCGAAAATGGTGGTTTGTACCTTGAACGTGGTTAGGGTCGCGGGTGGGTCGCGGGTGGGTCGCGGGTGGGTCGCGGGTGGGTCGCGGGGTGGGCCGCGGGCGGGTCGCGGGGTGGGTCGCGGGGTGGGTCGCGGGGTGGGTCGCGGGGTGGGTCGCGGGGTGGGTGGGTGGGTGGGGTGGGTCGCGGGTGGGTCGCGGGTGGGTCGCGGGGTGGGTCGCGGGGTGGGTCGCGGGTGGGTCGCGGGGCGGGTTGCGGGTGGGACGACGACAACAAACAACAAGAAACAACAACAATCAACAACAACAACAACAACAACGAGAATCCGCACCGCGGAATTCCACTTCAGCCACGCACCCAGGGACAGTGAATGACCGTTCGGCCCCCTCGCTCTGATGTAAATGTATGTTGTATATATATATATATATATATATATATATATATATATGCATATGGCTCAGTCTTGTGTATACATGTATGTATGACTATACATAGGTATATGTATATGTATGCGTCACCATGTATGAGCGTATGTCTGTGGATGCGTATGTGTGTACTATACTGAAACGGATTCACATCATAATGTGTAAGTGTGTATTTGCGCATGAGTGCGTGTTTATGTGCACATGTAGAGGTATATGTATGTGCTTATGTATATGAGTATGGAGAAGCATCTGTTTAGGTATGCGCCAAACTGTATCTCTCGATTCTATGTATATGTATGCGTATATACATGTTGTTGTGTGCATATATTTATACGGGTATGTACATGTAGTTGTAGCTGCATGTGTATATGTATAGGCATATGAGTATACAACAGTATACGTATACGTAAATACAGGTATAACTATACATGTATGTGTATATGCACATTCATTCGTACATGCATATGTGTATGTGACTGTCTAGGTATGCGTGCGTGTACATATACATGGATCTCCATATGTATCGATGTATGTTTATGTTTGTGTCTATGTTTCTACATACGTCTGTACATACGTATGTATATACATAGGTATGTCCAGTTGGCGCCCTCCTTCCAGTAGGGGAGAAGGAGGCGGAGGAGGGAATCAATGAGCGACAGGTGGAGGAGAGGTTTGGGGGCACCCGTGCTGTCCGCCCTGCTCGCTCCTCGCCCAGAGGTGCTCGAGATCCGGCGGCTCGTGCACGTGGCCTCCGAGTGCTTCGGGCCGTGCGCCCGCGTCCAGGCGCCGGCCGTGGGGCGGAGGGGCGTGCTGCCCTGGGTGCTGCGGCACGTGCGCGCGCGCGGCTGTGTGTGTGTGTGTGTTGTCCACTTGGCGCGCGCGCGGCTTGCAGCGCGCGCGTTTGACGGCGAGGAGTGGCTCCCGTCGGCGACGACCGATAACAGTGTTTTTGTGTTTGTGTGCGTGTGTTGTGTCCGCTGCCCCATGATGGGGCCCGACCCGCCGTCGCCCGTTTGGCGGCGCCGCCCGCCGCTCCCCGCCACTGCCTGCCGCCTGCCGCCCCCTGCCACTGCCCCGTGAAGGGCCAGCGCTTCCCCTTGGTGGCCTCGCTCATGACTGCCTCGCTTTGGTCGGTCCAGGGCCTTGCCTGCCTAGCTAGCCTTCGGCTTTTGCAGGGTCGATCCTTGGTAGCCTCGTTCATGGCTTCGCAGCTCTCGTTCGCTGACTGCCCGTGCATCGGCCGAGCGCTTTTGCCCCACCTGCGTGCGCCTGGAAGAACTGTGTGTGAGCGTGTGTGCGTGCGTGCGTGCGTGCCTGCCTGCGTGCGTGCCTGCGTGTGTGTGTGTGTGTGTGTGTGCGTGTGTGTGTGTGTGTGAGTGTGTGTGTGTGTGTGTGTGAGTTGGGGGGGGCGTGCGTGCGTGCGTCGGTGCGTGCGTGGGTGCGTGTGTGTGTGTGTGTGCGTGTGTGTGTGTGTGTGTGTGTGTGTGTGTGTTGGTGTGTTAGTGTGTTAGTGTGTGTGCGCGCGCGTGTGACTGCGTATGCACGCCAGTCGTTGAAACTAAGTATCTCTGATCTACTTCATGTGCTTCCTGCTTCAATGATCGACATGTGTTTGCTGTGTTCTGTTACTCTTTGGGCGGGCCCGAACCATACCTACATTATCAGTTTTCTTACTTCATGTTTCTACCTAGTTCTTCTGGACGGCGTTTATGTGTGTACTCGTTTTTTGAGACTACATTCTTACCACGCGGTTTCACAATGAATTTGGTCACGTTGAAGTCCGCCGCCGCATTTCAAAGCTGACTGTACTCTTCAACGCGTCGGGGGGGGGGGGCAGCGTGTTTGTTTTCTCGTCGACACCAAGCTTCCTCGGGTCTGTTTATGAACCTGCTCCGCAGCCTCACAAGAGGGCAATTTTGGTTTGCGCGTGCCCCGCCTTGATTTCCCTAACGCCGATCGGTGTGTGTGTGTGTGTGAGTGTGGAGGACACGGCCGTTGCTCGCACGCAGTCGTCAAGAATGCGCCCGCACTTCGCGCAGCCGCGCGCCGCCAGTGCTCTGCCGGCCGCTGGTGTAACGTCGCGGAGGAGGATGACGTGTCTGTGTGTATGTGTGTGTGCGTGAGCGTGCGTGTGGTGTCGCGACTCGTCGTGCGCAGTCCCCCCATGCGCGATGCCAGCCGGAGCCGGCGCGAAGCGTGCCCCGCCTCACCCCCCGCGGCAGTGGCCCCGCTCCGCCGCCAGAATGCGTGGTGCTGGCCCGGCCGCACGCTCGCCGCGTTCGACTAGCTGTGCCGCGCCGCCGCGCGCATGGCCGCGACGCCAAAAGTGCGTACGCGCGTGTGTGTGTGTGTGTGTGTGTGTGTGTCTGTCTGTCTGTCTGTCTGTCTGTCTGTCTGTCTGTCTGTCTGTCTGTCTGTCTGTCTGTCTGTCTGTCTGTCTGTCTGTCTGTCTGTGTGTGTGTGTGCGTGCGCGCTCGTGTGTGTGTGGTGTTGCTGCCACCCTGCCTGCGGTAGTTCGGGCCCGCACGCGCCGCTCTCGTCCACCGCGGCCGCGGCCGCGGCCGCTGTCCCGGCTGCCCCTCGCTGTGGCCCTCCGCGGCGTACTGCCTCCCTCTCGTCATCTCCCTGCTGACGCCAGCACTGCCATCCGCTCTCGCCGCGCGGACTGCCCGCTCATGATCAAGATGATGCCGCCACGTGCATTTTTTTGAGCTTGACCTGATTGTGTGTGCAGGGGCCCTCGTGGTTCCTGGTCGGCGGATAGTTGAGTTGGCGATGGGATTCTCACCGATAAGGAGCAATGAGTAGCCCCTCCCCGAATGGGAAAAAGTTGCTTGGAATAGTAGGAAGGAACGTCGAGCCGCCTACCCCCAAAGGGCAATTAGAATTGTCTTGTTCCCCTTCCGTCTCCCATCTGCTATTCGCATTCATTATTTGATATTGCTGCTTCGACCGCTGGATGACCGTTTTTGGTAAGTATGCGCATCAGGCCACCGTGTTTGTGCCGAGGGCCACCTTCCGTTCACTTCTTGTCCGCGCCTACTTCTCCTTTCGGCCGCCAGGATTCTGTCTCCCCTTGACAGCCCTGTGTAGAACAATGTTTCGAACCAGGGCAGAACATCAGAGGAAAAGGATCGCCTGATTTTGGGTCAGATCGCGGCATGGACGAGCTCATGGCAGGACTGCTCCGACCCCAGGCTTACCACAATCGCCCAGCAGGGCATGAACATCTAACAATTGACTGGAGCGAGCCTCTTTCTTTTTTGGCTAGCCCGTTGCGGGCCATTCTGTATGTTCCTCGGACTCTCTCCTCGCCATCTCCCGGCTCAGCCTCTGAGGTCTTGCGCTCGAGCGATGTCCCCGGCGCTCGGACGGTCTTCACGACGAGCTCGACGGCAGTGCTGCAGATCTGGCCGGTGGCGAGCGACCACCACATTCTGAGGCGCCCTTCCTCTTCCCCAGATGCTCAGGGATGCACGGGTGGGTTTCGCTTCCAAGGTCGGCGCACGGTGGTCTGAGCGCTCACTATTTGGTGAGGCTTTGAGTCGTATGCAGCGCAGGCAGTTGGGTGTTCACCTGCGTATCACTGATTCATGTCGTACGGCAGTGGATGCTAGTCGAGCAGGCGGTTGGCAGTGCACATCTTCCGCCGTCGTCTGTGTCATCGTGGTCAAAATCGGCCTCCCGTATTTGTGCCGGCATGTTCGCATGTAGCACCCAGCGCCTTTTTCTTCGCAGTGTGCGATTTCAAAGCAGATCAGTTTCGTTGAGCAGTCGTGCTCCTTACAACGAGAGATGCTTTGTTGGTGTTTTCACTGAGCCAGACGAATTTTCAGCGTTCGAGGATGGTCGTCTGAATGGGCAACTGCGGTCGAGCGTCGGGGAGGGAAACAAGGGGTGCTGCCAGGGTTGAGGGTTCCAGTGTTATGCAGCTTTGAGCCCAATCGAGCCTTCGGTCGGTACGTGGCTGTTTGAGAGTGTATCAATTGCTTCGGTCGGGACCACCTGGCTGCTTGTTGGACCGCTTGCCATTTGGGAGAAAGGTGTGGATTCGTTCATTTCTGAAGGCATATGCGCAAGCACATATTCGCCGTCCACTGCGGACGTTGCATGTGCACGCTCATTTTTTTGCTGAAGCAGTGGGCACATTAAGGGATTCTGTCTCGGGTGTCCGACAAGTCTGACGTAGAGACGAGGGAGGGAAGTAGGAGGAGGAGGATGAGGGGGAGGATGAGTTGGAGGATGAAAAGGAGGAGGAGGAGGAGGAGGAGGAGGAGGAGGAGGAGGAGGAGGAGGAGGGGGAGGTGGAGGAGGAGGTGGAGAAGGGAGCATGAGAGACCCAGGAGGCGGAGGGAGCGGATTGCGCGGCTCGAGGGTGTCAGACACCGAACCACACCATTGGGCGCACGCGCATTGGCCTGAGGCAAGGAGGGGGAAGGAGAAGAGGGAAGAGGGAGAGGAAGAAGAGGGAGTGTGGAAGATGTGCCTGTGCTGGCGAACAAGACCTGCATGTTTCAGTGTATGCTAAGCATGTTGGCTTTGGGTGCGTTGATTGCTTCCGAAGGCGATATTGCCACCAGCGTTGATCATGGACTAGCCGCTGCCAAGAGTAATTCTGGTGCAACGTCAGGGTTGACTTCCGCCAGTGGCATCGGTCAATAGGGAACGATCTGGCGATCGGAAGGCCGCCTTCGTTCAAGGTTGAACGGACCACGCGGCGTCGGAAACGGATGCGGGGGTCGCCGCGACGCGAACCTGTTGCATTGTCGGGCCGCTTGGCGTTCCGAGGTAATCTTGGAGACGCGGTAGGGTCGCAGAGCCGCTTTGGTATCGATTTGGGTCCCCCTGAGGTCTTGCGAGCTTCCACGGGCACTTCCGTTGCGGCCAAGTAATTTCATGCGGGCCATGCGCGAGTCTCCGCGAGCGCAAGTCGAAATTCTTTCAAATCATTTGGATCCCGTGAATTTCAGTATAGACATCCTCAACAACACATGAAAACCAAAGGGCTCTCCAATAACCAACTTGTCAGACATTATCAGAGTGAGCTGGCCGAACGGTCATTCATTGTCCCTAGGTGCGTGGTTGAATAGGGAATTCGTGGTGAGCATTCTGCTTGTTGCGTTGTTGTTGTTGTTGTTGTTGTTGCAGTTGTTGTTGGTGTTGCAGTTCTCGCTGTTGCTGTTGTTGAAATCTCATTTCTGAAGAATTATTATTGTTGATCCCCCTCACCGGTGCATGCTTTTTTTCTCAATCAAAGTGTGCCCCTCGACGTTCGCACCCTGTTTTTTATCAGGGCAAGTCTTGGTGCTCAAACTGGGCCCTTGGCCCCCCAGATCACAAGAACAACGGCTCCCGCCTGAGACTTCCTCCAAATTTGCTCAAGGACCCCGCCCCTGAGACTTCCTCGCAATTTGCTCAGGATCGGTGCTCCCGCTTTTGACCTCCTCGCAATTTCGTCAGGACCCCCGCTCCCATCCGAGACTTCCTCACAATTTACCCAGGGAGGGTGCTCCCGCTTGAAACTTCCTCGCAATTTAATCGAGATTTCTTCGCAATTTAAAACAGACCCCCGCTCCCGCCAGAGAGCCCTTCACATTGTATTCAGGAATTGCGCTTGTGAGTTCCATGCAATGTATTCAGACATTGCGCTGTCGACGCTCAGGAAACACGCTGCGCCAAGGACGCCGCTACAATTTACTTCGTAATCGCGCTCTCGCCATACTCAGGCATCCCGCTTGAATGTCCTACCTGCCAAGCCCGCCCGTCACGGGATTTCCGCCCGTCGTGGGCTCCCGCCCGAGACTTCCTTCAGACATGTCGCTTTCGCCTAGGATTTCCTCGAACGTTCACGCTCTTAATTTCCTGCTCCTCCTCCTTTTCCCTCCTCCGTCCTCCCTTCTCTCCTCCCTTCTCTCTCCCTCCTCTCTTCCCTCATCCTTATGCCTCTCTGCCTTATCCCCTCTCCCTCCTCTCCCTTCTCCCTTCTCCCTCCCTTTTCCTGCCTCCTCCCTCCCTCTTTCGTTCTTTCTCACTCTCTATCTCTCTCTTTCTTTCTCTACCTCTCTTATCTGTCTTTTTCGCTCGCTCTTTCCCCCCCTGTCTCTCTCTCTCTCTCTCTCTCTGCCTCGAATCAACCGCCCCCCTCTTCGCTCCTTCTCCCCTGGCGTGTTCCCTCTGCCTTCGTCCCTCCCCCTCCCTTCCTCCCACTCTCCCTCGTTTTCCCCCTCCTCTTGTTGCAGGGCCCACATCAATTCCAGTGGCAGACACATGTACGCCCACAAAGGATTGTCCGCCCGTTCAGGTTTGCCCGTTTGTCTAAGACCCCCGCCCCCCGCAAAGAGAAACAACCCCCCAAAGGGGGCGTGATCGAGGATAAGACGGGCGGGTATCGAGGGTGTTCGTTTTTGAATGACGCGAGGGCAAGCAAGAGCGAACAGTCTTATAATGATTTGTTTGCTATTGTTGTTGAATTTATTTCTGGATGATCATTTTTGGTTACCCCCCCCCCCACACCCGTGCATCACGTTTTTTTCTATTTAAATTGTGTCCCGCGGCGCTCACCCCCTTTTTTTGGATGATATATATATATATATATATATATATATATATATATATATATTATCATCAGGGCAAGTCGTGGTGCTCAAGCGGGGCCCCGTCCCCCCCCCCCCCCTTCCGGATTACAGCGACAAAGGCTCCCGCCCGAAACTTCCTCCAAATTTACCCAGGACCCCCGCTCCTGGGACTTCCTCACAATTTACTAAGGATCGGTACTCTTGCTTGTGACCTCCTCGCAATTTCGTCAGGACCCCCGCTCCCATCCGAGACCTCCTCACCATTTACCCAGGGAGGGCGCTCCCGCTTGAAACTTCCTCGCAATTTAATCGAGACTTCCTCGCAATTTAATACAGACCCCCGCTCCCGCCAGAGAACCTTTTTACATTGTGAATTGCGCTTGTGAGTTCCACGCAATGTATTCAGACATCGCGCTGTCGACGCTCAAGAAACACGCTGCGCCAAGGACGCCGTTACAATTTACTTAGTAATCGCGCTCTCGCCATACTCAGGCACCCCGCTTGAATGTTTCACCTGCCCGGCACGCCCATCACTGGATCGCCCGCCCGTCGTGGTCCTCCGCACGAGGACTTCCTCGAACGTTGATGCTTATACTTTCCTGCTATTCCTCCTTCTCCCTCCTCCGTCCTCCCTTGTCTCCTCCCTCCTCTCTCCCTCCTCTCCCCCCTCATCCTTATGCCTCTCTGCCTTATCCCCTCTCCCTCCTCTTCCTCCTCCCTTCTCCCTCCCCTCTCCTGCCTCCTCCTTCCCTCTTTGTTTCTCTCTCTCTCTCTCTCTCTCTCTTGTTTTTTTTTTCTCTCTCTCTCTCTCTCTCTCTCTCTTGTTTTCTCTCTTTCTCTACTTCTCTTGTCTGTCTTTCTCGTTCGCTCTCCCTCTCTCTCTCTCTCTTTCTCTCTCTCTCTCTCGGTCTGCCTCTAATCAACCGCCCCCCTCTTCGCTCCTTCTCCCCTGGCGTGTTCCCTCATCCTTCGTCCCTCCCCCTTCCCTTCCTCCCAGTCTCCCTCGTTATCCCCCTCCTCTTGTTGCGGGGCCCACATCAATTCCAGTGGCGGACACATGTACGCCCACGAAGGATTATCTGCCCGTTCAGGTTTGCCCGCCTGTCTAAGCCCGCCGCCCCCCGCACAGAGCAAACATCCCCCCAAAGGGGGTGTGATCGAAGACAAGAAGGGCGGGTATCGAGGGTATGGGGATCTCGTTTTGCAGGACACGCGGGCAACTAAGAGCGAACAGTCTTCACTGATTTGTTTTGTTGTTGTTGCTGTTGTTGAATTCATTCCTGAAGGATAATTATTGGTGCCCCCCCCACTGGTGCATACCGTTTTCTCAATCAAAGTGCGCCCCTCGACGCTGGCCCCCTGTCTTTTATCATGGCAGATCATGGTACTCAAGCTGGGCACCGCCCCCCCCCCCCCCCCCCGGATTACAGCGACAACGGCTCCCGCCCGACAGTTCCTCCAAATTTACCCAGGACCCCCGCTCCTGGGACTTCCCCACAATTTGCTCAGGATCGGTGCTCCCGCTTGTGACTTCCCCGCAATTTCGTCAGGACCCCCGCTCCCATCCGAGACTCCCTTGCAATTTACACGGAAAGGCGCTCCCGCTTGAGATTTCCTTGCAATTGAATCAAGACTTCCTAACCCCCGTCCCCGCCAGAGAACCCTTCACATTTTATTCAGGAATTGCGCTTGTGAGTTCCATGCGATGTATTCGGACATCGCGCTGTCGACGCTCAGGAAACACGCTGCGCCAAGGACGCCGCTACAATTTACTTCGTAATCGCGCTCTCGCCATACTCAGGCATCCCGCTTGAATGTCCTACCTGCCAAGCCCGCCCGTCACGGGATTTCCCGCCCGTCGTGGGCTCCCGCCCGAGACTTCCTTCAGACATGGCGTTTTCGCCTAGGATTTCCTCGAACGTTCACGCTCTTAATTTCCTGCTCATCCTCAATCTACCTCCTCCCCCCTCTCTTTTTCCTCCCTTTTCTCTCCCTCCCCTCTTCCCTCATTATCATGTCTCTCTGCCTTATCCCATCTCCCTCCTCTCCCTTCTTCTCCCTCCCCTCTCCTGCCTCCTCCCTCCCTCTGGCTGTCTCTCTCTCCCTTCTCGCTCTCTCTCGTTTTCTCTCTTTCTCTACTTCTCTTATCTGTCGTTCCCGCTGTCGTTCTCCCTCTTTCTTCTCTCGGTCTGCCTCTTATCAACCGCCCCCCTCTTCGCTCCTTCTCTCCTGGCTTTGTCCCTCGTCCTTCGTCCCTCACCCTCCCGTCCTCCCACTCTCCCTCGTTTTCCCCCTCCTCTTGCTGCAGGGCCCACACCAATTCCAATGGTGGGCACATGTACGCCCACGAAGGTTTGTCCGCCCGTTCAGGTTTGCCCGCCTGGCTAAGCCCGACGCTCCCCCCCCCCGCAAAGAGACATCATCCCCCCTAAAAGGGGTGTGTTCGAAAAGAAACAGGTCGGGCATCGAGGGTGTGGGGATCCCGTTTTGAATGACGCGGGCAAGTCAGATCGAACAGTCTTAGAATGATTGTTGTTTTTTTTGCTGTTGCTGTCGTTGTTGTTGTTGTGGTTGTTGTTGTGGTTGTTGTGGTTGTGGTTATTGGTGTTGTTTGTTGTCGTCGTCCCACCCGCGACCCACCCGCGACCCACCGCGCGACCCACCCCGCGACCCACCCTGCGACCCACCCCGCACCCCGCCCTCAAGGGAAAAACAACCACACGGACCCGACAATTGGCGTTTATTGAAGGGCCGTTGGGCGTTTACTAAACAGCCCTCCCCTGTTCGATTCATTCCTTGCGTGCGTTTACTGCACTGCTTCGCTTGTCGGGGTGATGATTCTGGGGTGGATTTGCTCAACTGTGCACCTGGACCCACCCACGGCCCAACAGCAGCACACCCGCGACCCAGTTGCGACCCACCCGCGACCCACCCGCCACCCACCCGCGACCCACCCACATTGGTTTAACGCAAAAATCGGTGCTTGCGGCGGGCTCGTTGTGTAATGTGTGAAACGTTGGCGCTTGCGCTGTGTTTTTTTTGGTTTCGCAAACAGCCGGCGTCCCCGCCGCCCCCGCACTCTTATCCGCACATGCGGGGTGCTACGCGAATTTTTGCACATGGTTACAGCCCCTTGGCCCTCATCAGCACCATAGCAACCGTCACCGCCAGCGTCATCACCCCACGGGCATCATCATCTCCATGACCATCGCCAATTTCGTTATCATCAGCCCCACCGTCGTCACCACCATCAATGGCGCCATTGTCATTGTCATTGCCATCGTCGTCAGAGCCACCGTACTCATCATCATCATCCTCTTCACCATCATCATCAGATGTCGTCATTCTCATCAGTTGCAGTTGTCCTTCCGAGGCATGGGCCTGCATCAGAAATGCCCCCCGTGCGTCATGACGCCAACTGTTATATGCCAACCAAATGCGGGTAGACAAGTGTGCTATGTGCTCGAGCATTGGAGCTGACGACGAGCATTCAATCTGGCCACGTAGATTGCACCGCACTTTTTGTACCACAGCAATTGCATGATACAAGCACTGCTATTGTACACATAACATGCGTCGTGCACAAGTTTAAGCGCGAAAACCATTCACCATGCATGCGCATGCATTTGTGAATCTTTGCGCATGTACCTGCATCGCACCGCCCGTATTGCATCTCAGATGTTCTCCTTCGTAAAAAATGGTAAAGTGGCCCCGATGGGTACTCCTCGGTATTGTACATTGAACATGCCGGTTCGCCCCATTGAATAATTTAAATGTGAGCTCATCTTTATCGCTCCCATCCACCCCTGTCAAATAATACAGTGCGCGTGCTCTCCTTGATAACACAAGCGTGATACCCTTGCAGCACATGCGACGCAGCCCACACGCACGCGTCGTCGCGCGCGCATGACCAACTTCTTCACGCACTGTAGGTATCGGAAGGATTAGAGGTGTTCACAAACATTTCTAAAACACACTAATGTGTTGGTCCACGCTACGTTCAGAGAAATATGCTTGCGCGCTTTTGCGATTAATTGTGGAATCCATCGGATGTTCAACACTTCCGTCAAGTGAGATCACGCGGGCCTCTCGCGCTCGCATGCTGCAATCGTTCGAACGCCCTTGCTAGCTTGCTGGGATGGGGGCGGGGCGATCCCTGCCACATAATACCCATGCGGGCCACTCGCGCGCGTCGTCCGCGCGCGCATCGAAATCCGACCAAGTCTTTATCCGCGAAAGATGGGCATGATCACCGTCGTCGGCGTTGCCAGCATCGGTGTCATCATTTGCCATGCCATCGTCGTTTTCTCCATCGTCGCTATCATCGCTACTGCCATCATCGTTTCCGTCGTTGTCGACGTCACCATGATACCGCGCCCACCCGGGTCTTCAACCCACACGGGAGCGCCCGCGCGCCATCGCGGCCCGTCCGTCAGACGTGTCGGGAAGTCCCCATCGGCCAGCGCCATTGCGGCCGCGTCGTTTGTGCCAAGGTAGTTGGCCGTTCTACGCGCAAGCTTGTGCGCTAGCGTTGCCGCAGTGATGCACCAGCCAGGGCCAAGCAGCCATCCGAATCGCCACCGTAGAAGTTTTGCAAACCAAGTCGCGGATGGGAGGGGGGGACAATGGCGCGAGCAGGGAAGTTGTTAGTTTGAAATTCTGCCAGGTGGTTTGCGCCACGCAGGCCGCAGCAAGACCACTCACGCATGCCAACACGCATGTCGCACTTCGAGAGTGCAGAAACCCACTGGTCTGGTGTCATGCTCGCCAACATTCGATGTAATGAATCTTTCAGGGGTGTCCGAGCCAGCGCAGCGAATCAGTTGACTGTACTGTCGCCGAGGTCGGGAGGCCTAGCGCGGTCTTGTCGCTGAAAGGGCACGATCGCACGACAGAGTCATGTCATGGAGCATGCAGCTCTGGTGGACGCACCTCATGGGAATGATACAGTCTTTCCACCGATTGTCTTTCATCCGATCTGGAGACAATTTCAGCTCGGTTTCTGAATTGCCGAACTATGCAGGCATCGACGAACTCCAGAGCGCCTCTTGCACCTTGGATGTCGCGCGTTTGTTTACCATCACTGTACTTGTCAAGCCAAGGCGTCCTGTTCATTGCGAAATTTCTGCCCCCGATCACCACTGCTATTCTTACAGTTGTCACTCTTTCTGCTGTCTGACCTGGACATCGCAGGCTTATTTTGGACACTACCAGCGGGCATCTGCAGCGACATGGTGATGGTGGCTGGCTCTTCGTCAACTTCTGCCTGCGTGTTGTGCTGTCTCTGCTTGGCGGCAGGCTCAGACTGCTCCTGATGTCTTGAGGCATTCGCTGAGTCGACATCTCGTTTTGTGTTTGACCAGTCGGTGCAGTTGTCTTGGCAGTTGAATGTGCCGCCACGTGAAGTCGCTCCGTCCAGCATCCGAGGTCGGCAAGGCCTTCACGGCTGATCGAGCGGGCCCAGATACAGGAGAAGTCGACCCAGAGCGTTCTGGAACGTTCTCAGAGCCGTGCTGAGTGCTCTGGAACGGCCGCGGCGCTGGATACACCCTCTGGAACCGCTGGATCTCAGAGATCCCCAATGTACCGGTTCTGGCTTCGCCTTAGCTGACGCAGCCGTATTGAAAGTGAGGGTGGGGTTTCTAAGGTGATGATGGCCCTGGACTCCGGCGATCGGGGAGAAAGCCTGTGGAAGCAGAGGAAGGAGATATCAATACGCACGCTGGCGTGGCTGAGAGTCATTCGGCTTGGTCTCCCTTCGTGAGGCGTCCCCTCAAACAGTTGTCATGATTCCCTGTCGCGTGTGTCGCTGGTTTTCGGGATGATGGCCCATGAAGAAATGCTGTGTTCTTTTCTTGCTCAAGGGAGCTACTAGCCCGTAAGGATTCAGCAGGGTGCCGCTGGCATCCCAGGGCCCTAAGGACCAGAGGGCCAGCGGGGAAAGGTGTTCGTACCGACCCACGTGCTGGGAGCTGCTATGCACGAGGAGGGGTTGGGACGGCGAACGTTCCAGCAAGATGAGCATCGGGAGAGGCTGGGGCAAGGCTATGCCCCAGCTGCAGCATGCCGGTGGACGTGCTAAGCAATTCTGGGTTTGTCCAGAAGCCTCATTTTTTAATCGCTTCGCTCATTCCGCCAGCCCATATTGCCTCGCCGCTTGGAGGCCGTGTTGGGGCCTCGGAGTCGCCTCTGGGAGGCAGTTGTCAGTCCTCTTATCGGCCTTTTGGGGCCGTGTTGGGGCCTCTTGGGGGCCTCTGTGAGAGTTCTTGGGGTGCCTCTGACGGGCCTCTTGGGGCCTCTTGGGGCCTCCTGGGGGCCTCTTGGGGCTGCAGGCTGGACTTGTCGGTTCCTGGTCCCCGTCTTGGGCCCCTCTTGGGGCCTTTTTGGCGCCTTTTTGGGTCATCTTGAGCGCCTCTTGGGCTGTCTTGCGGCCATATCGGGCCGTGTTGGTGCCCTTTTGGAGGCTTCTTGGGCCGTCTTGGGGCGGTCTTGGGGGTCAAGTCTTGGAGCGTTGGAAAGCCGAAAAGGAGAGACACGTCGCACATGCGAAATGTGTACGTTTTCAGAAAGGAATGGGGCAGTTTTTGCTTGGTGGGGCCCTCCTGGAGAGCCTCTCGAGGCATTTTCGGGGGGGTCGTTTCGCGAACTCTGGGGCCATCTCGAGACCATCTTGAGCGTGTGGGAACGATCTTTCGGCGACTCGGGGCCTCTTGGGCCGTGTAGGGGGCGTCCTGGCGCCCTCTTGGCGCGCTCCTGGAACGCCTTGGGGGAGACGGCCGAGCATCGCCCGTGGTACTTTTCGTCCAGGGGTCCCCAGATGCCGCCATGCGCGCGGGGTGAAGATATGGCTTAGTCAGCGGTCCAAGCGACAATTGACAGTCTGCTTTCAGCAGCACTGCCTACGCTATTCGAGTATGTACCTGGTTGTATTGGAGAGCGAACTTGCAAAGGCAGTCTTGGATTCATCTGGAAATACTCTTAGTCACAAGGGGTGTTCCAAGTCGCGAGGACGCACTAGTTGGACCCTTAGTTAGCAGTGGAGCTTCGGTCACGATCTGACCCCTCCGTCTCCTCTCAACACGGAGTGGTTTGCGACAGACTGGAAGAAACGGAGCCCCTCGGATTGGCCTTGCAATGTCTTGCGTTTGCGTGTTCCTCCTGTTTATTATGTGTTGTGTGTTTGTCTGAAAGCTGAGTTGCATTTTTCAGTGGTTCGCAGCGTATTTGCGAGAGGCACGTGGCTCCCTGGTTACGAAGAAGAGCAGGCCCATTACACCAGGGGTGGTGGACGATGTTGGCAAGCATGCAATCACAATAATTACTTCGTCCACGACCAATTCAAGCAAATGTGGTGTTCAATGATTTGATCGTCGAGGCACAATTCAACTAAACCTCATGCAGAGCTGCACCCTTGCCAAGCACGGAGGTTCTTGCCTTTTTGAGTGTTGATGTTTAGCTCATTGTGTATACGCAAGATAACTTTCTATTCATGCAGCCCGATGAGGAGAGGGATGCGCATAGCGAGTCACATGGTACACATCACATGCCCCCAGTTCACACATAGTTGCTCCTCGTTCTCTTCTCTTACTTCGTTTACTCCTCTCCTCCTTGCCCTCCCCCTCGCTTCATCTTTCTCCCACTCTACCCCGTGTCTCTCCTTTCTCTGTCTCTCTCTCTCTCTCGCTTTGTCTGTTTGTCTGTCTGCCTGCCTGCCTTCCTGCCGGCCTGTCTGTCTGTCTGTCCGTCATTCTCCATCCCTTCCCCCCTTTACCAAATGACGCCAGCAGGACACACTCATACGCGACACATATAAACGATACTACACTACTACAAGGAAAGACCCCCACATCACCACCAGCGAAAGCATACGAATGACATCCGCGCGAGTGAAGCACGGCTAGCGTCTTACACACCGGGAGGCGCAGCAAGGATATTTGGACATGTGGGTTTGCATGTCTCTGTTCTTTCGTGCAAGGTGTTATGGCTGACTCCTGTTGTTCTGGGATTCGGTTTACCCATGTTGTACTGGTTCCAGTTTGTTCCCTCAGGTGCGAAGCCTCCTGTGCTGCGACCCTTGGATCACCGCGCGCAAGGCCGTCACAAGTGGCGACCTTCGTTTACGCTTCCTGAGGAGCTCTACTGGGTCCTAGCTGGGCCGTCTTGAAGCTGCCTGGGGCTCCTGCTGGGCCTTGCTGGGGCCCTCTTGGCGGTCAGGGGGCCTCTTGGGGCCGTTGTGGGGCCTCCTTACGCCGTCTTGGGCCCCTCCAGGGGCCCTGTTGGGCCAGCTGGGAACCATCCCTCCAGGGGATCTGTTGGGCCAGCGTTGGACTCGTTTAGGGTGGTCCTGCGTGGGTTCGTTGCTGTTTGATACCTGCACGGTCTCTAGACGATTTGTGCAACAGCATTGTGATCATATCTTGCTCGCGGATTGCAACCTTGAATCTCATTATGGCGCGGAGGTTTGTGACCCAATGAGCGATGCTACAGCGAGAGCAGTCCCTCGAAAAGATGTCCTACTGTGTGGAGGGTCTCGGTGACAAGTGCTGCCGTATTTGTGTTACCACGGTCTAGTTCGCTTGCTGTCGGCGCGCCTGCCACTCTGGGAAGGCTTTTCAGGGGGGCCCTGCGGGGCCGTCGGGCCGTCCCTGGCAGTCTAGATGCAGGCACCTCTCTCCACGAAGAGCTTCGCGCCCATGTTGGGGCCGTCTTGAAGCGATGTCGGGCTCGAGTGGGGGCATCTCGAGCTGGCCCTGGGCTGCTCTGGAGCGACCTGGGCGGAGCTGGGCCGTCCTGGGGGCGTCTGCGGCGGGGCCCTCGGGGGCCGTCTCAGGGCCGTTTGGAGCCTTGTAGGGGGCCACTTCGAGAGGCGTCTCTGGGGCATCTTTTCCACCACACAGCTATACATGCAGCCCCCCCCCCTCCCGTGGGTTCTTCCTGGGCATCAGGGGAGGGTGGCGGTGTATAAATCACCACTGAAAGCCGGCAATTCTATACACCGTCACCCTCCCTGAAGGCACTAGCAACATTCGTCGGCGGGTGTGTGTGTGTGTGTTTGTGTGTGTATGTGCACAGATTTTGTCTTGGAGTGCCTCTGGGGCCTCCCTAAGGCTCTCGAGGCTCGCCCGCCGAGGCGCCGCCTCGGAGAGCCACGAGTCACTGAAGCACCAAGGACTTCTCGTCAGTGTAGCTTCTCCGGGGCCTTCCCGCAGAGCGGGTGCCGGGCGAGAGGCTCGTCTGCGCCCGGGCAGCGCCTCGGAGAGCCTCGAAGCACCGAAGCACAACGAGGATTCCCTTGTGAGCTCCTCGAGATCTCTTGGGGCTCCCTCCCAGGTGGTGGTGGGGTTCTTGGGCTGCTGGGGCGCTCTTGGGTTCTACTGGGGCGTCGAGGGAGTTTGTCGGATCATCTGGAAGGGCCCTTGCACTGTCTCAGTAACTCGTGTGGGGCCATCGTTGGGGGTCTTGGCAGATACTGGGGCCGAACAGAAACATTGGGAGGGAGCTTGGAGGGGGCGATTCCCGTCGACGTAATGACTCGATGGGGGTGGCGAGTGAAATCGCAAGAGCACAATCAGACAGCCTGGTTCCAGGGTGCATTGCGGCGACACACAAGTCACCTTCTTCAAGCTTCTGACGATGAGAAGGGCGTCGAGGGCGTCTATGTTAATCAGATTGCCCTGGGCAGCACTGCTGGGGATGAGAATGTGCAGGGTTGCTCGCTTGCTGCCGCGAGGCGAGTGGACGGGCTCGCTCGACCAGCAGCGTTGCACGGCCTGGCTCCACGGGGCGACATCGCAAGAGCGGGGGGGAGGCGGGGGGGAGTTGGCTCGGCCAATGTAGGAGATCTTGATCAGGGGGGAGGAGGCGGATGAGGATGATGATGAGGAGGAGGAGGAGGAGGACGGGGAGCAGGAGGAAGGAGGGGGAGGAGGGGGAAGAGGAGGAGGAGGAGGAGGAGGAGGAGGATCAGGAGGAGGAGGGTGACTACGAGGAGGAAGAGGAGGAGGAGGAGGAGGAGGAGGAGGAGAAGGTGGAGGTGGATGAGGAGGAGGAGGAGGAGGAGGAGGAGGAGGATCAGGTGGAGCAGGAGAAGGAGACGTATTAGTAGAGGGGGAGGTGGAGGGAGGAGCAACGGGGTCACTACGAAGCGGGTTCCTGCTCCAGCCGCGGGGGCTTGAGCCGCAGGCTTCACGTCGTGGCCAGCCCCCCCCCTCCTGGCCGCAGCCGAGGGCAGAGCACGCACCCCGCCGTCCTCCTCCTTCGCTGCCTCCTCTCCTCCGGGCTCTGCTCCTCTGCCTCCTCTGCCTCCTCTGCCTCCTCGCCTCCTCCTCCTCTCCCTCCTCTCCTCCTCCTCCTCGGCCCTCCATTCCTCGAAGAACCGCAGCGGTATGAGGATACACTTTCCGCGCTCCGCGCGGATTTCGTAGATCGGCGGATCGGCGCCGGGTCCCCCCTGGCGGCGCCTCCGGTGCTGCCCGCTTGTCGCGCGGAACGCGCCAGCGAGGGGGACCCAGCGTCGATCCAGGAGATCTGCGCGGCTCTCCGAGCTAATTGTGTTTATGAAGTCTGTGGTTCCTCTATCTGCCTCTTCCTCCCTCTCATCCTCCGCACGGCGCTCGTCCCACCGCTCCCCCTCGTCAGTGCCTCCCCACGAAGCTAATATCAAAAGGTCTTCTCCCTTCTCCTGGGCGAAGAGGGGGCTTTAGACGGCACCTGCTGCCCACTGCGGGTTTAGGCCCCGCTACCGAGCGCTTTCCTCGACGCGAAGTCGCCTTCGGTGCGGGAAGTCGCCGGGAAAATCAGCCACGCGCGCTGTTTCGGACTCACTTCCTTAGAGGTACATCCGTGGTCGAACGCTGGACTTCTCTGGCATCATCCCATCGAGTTCCGCTGAGTCTCATTTCATTCGGCGCAATCCTGGGTTCAGCCTGGCCTAATCCAGCTGAATGGCCCCTTTTCATCGTGTTTAGATCTACATCTCTCGCTCTCTCTCTCTCTCTCTCTCTCTCTCTCTATATATATATATATATTCCCCAATGAGTGCTTGCACTGAAGGGGTCCAAGCGGAAGTTGAAGGATTTGGTGAAAGTGTTCCGCCGTTTTCGGTAGCAGGCTGGGTTCCTGGGTTTCCGGTTCCAGGTTCCTGGGTTCCGATTATTGGATCCAGGCCAATTTCGGTGGGCGGCGGGGTTCCCGGGTTCTTGGGTTCCTGGTTGATCTTCTTAGCGATCGGTCTCACCATCGATCTCATTACCTACCTCTTTGTCGAGCTCACGATCGATCTCACAATCGATCTCACAATGGATCTCACAATCGATCTCACTATAGAGCGCACCAGCGATCCCACGATCGATCTCATTAAATCAATCTCGTTCAATCGATTTCACTATCGGTCTCACGATCGACCTTACGATCGTCCTCACTATCGATTCCACGATCGATCTCACAATCGATCTCCATATCCACATTTGTAAGTTCCAAACCATCCACTGATTGGGGCTTTTCTCAGGTGTAGATATGAAGATTTAATTCAAATCGTTATCAGGAAGACTTCTCATGGGTTTCCTCCTAAAGCTGATTCGCTAACCCTCCCTTTGCTATCCTCCCTTGTCGTCCAATCCAATGGTTGTCTGGGTGCAGATCGGGGCGCTGCCGGCTATTCCCCAGGGCCTCGACACGAGTAGTGCGCCTGCCCTCCCACGTCATCTGCGTCATTTAGCGCAAGACTGCTATCCATGCCTTTTCACTCGTAGTGTAGCTGTAACCATTTTCAAGGGCTTCATGAATGTTTGGGACTCTTTGCGGAACCCCACATCAGCCCATCCAGAAAGAGCCCAGGCGAGTTTCCTTGATCAGGGATGTGAAGGAGCATGCAGTGAACTAAGGGGTTGTGGAAGCCGTCATAGCCCAAGAGGGGGAGAATAGAGTAGCAATTGGAGGAGGAGGAGGCGAAGCAGGAGGGGTAGGGGTAGGTGGAGGAGGGAGGACAGAGGAGGAAACATTAGCGGATGATGATAGTACAAGTAAGTTTAACAATTATAATGCGAATAATGATGATGAGGATGCTGATGATGCTGATGATGACGATGACGATGCCGATGACGATACTGATGATGATGCGGATGCTCATGCAGATGCTGGCGATGCTGATGTTGGTGATGATGCTGCGGCTGACGATTATGACGATGATGCTGGTTATGCTTCAGATAGTGATGCTGATGACGATGATGATGCTGATCTTGACGATGCAGAGGATGATGATGCTGATGATGCTGATGCAGATGCTGATGACGAATCTGATGCTGATGGTGGTGATGACGATGCTGAAGGTGATGATGATGATGATGATGATGATGATGCTGATTGTGGTGGTCGTGATGATAATGCTGATGCTGATGAGGTTGCTGATGCGATTGCCGATGACGATGGTGATGGTGATAACAATTATACTGATAATTATGCGGCTTGTGATGCTGCTGTTGATGATCATGATGGTGATGATGACGATGACGATGACGACGCGGCTGATGATGCGGCTGATCGTGTTGAATGGCCATGGTGCTGGTTATGAGGATGCTGATGATGCGATCCAGACGATGCATATGGTGATGCTGCTGTTCCTGCTGATGATGATGACGCTGCTGATGGCGTTGATGATTTTGCTGATGTTACTGATGCTGTCCATGCGGATGCTGCTGCTGATGCTGATGATGCTGATGATGCAACTGATGATGCTGATGATGCTGATGCTGATGGTGCTGACTCTGGTGATGATGCTGTGGATGCTGCTGATGATGAACCTGACTATGTTGCCGATGAGGATGCTGCTGCTGATGTCGCTGATGATGCTGATGATGATGATGCTGTTGCTGGTATTGGTGGTGTGTTTGTTTGTGATGCTGCGGTTTATGACGATGATACTGGCTATGATGCTGCTGATGCTGGTGACTATTCTGCTGTCGATGATGCTGATGATGTTGACGCTGATGCTGCTGATGCTGATGTTGATGCTGATGATGATGACGCTGTTGATACTGATGCTGATGCTGGGGATGATGATGATGATGATGATGATGATGATGATGATGATGATGATGATGATGATGATTGTGACGATGCTGATGATGATGATCATGATGATGCTGATGACGATGCTGACGCTGATGATGATACTGATGATGCTGATGCTGCTGATGATGATGATGATGACGAGGAGGAGGAGGAGGAGGAGGAGGAGGAATGGGAGGGAGAGCAGAAACGCCCTCGGCCGCCTGGATGCCTCTCGGAGTCTTTGAAAGCTCGGGTATTCTCACGACTAGGAAAACTGAAACACGACAAGAGAAAGTTGAAACACGGCAAGGCACGGCTTATCCACGACAAGCAGCAAGCAACTTCGCCACCCACTTTCGCCGCCTTGCGGATTTCTCTTGAGAGTTTCTTCGGAGTCCTCTGGGGTCGTTTTGGGGGCCTTAGACGTCCCAGGAACATCTTTGAGCGTCTGGGGTGCTTCGGGGGTGCCTCTTCAGGCCTCCTTGGAGGTCTCTTGGGAGCTTCCTGGGGTCTCCTTGGGGGCCTCTTCGGGCCTCCTTGGGGGCCTCTTGGGGCCTTCTTAATACTCTCCCGAGAGCTTGAGGGTCCTCTGAGGGGGGGCTTCTGGAGGACATCGATCAAACAAGGGGGTGAGGGGGGGCAAAATTGGCCGCGTGCCCCTCGCGAGCCCCTAACATCGCCTCTTGGACCCCTCTCGGAGCGCTCTTGGAGCGCACGTGGCGCTCTTGGATCCGTCTTGGAGCTCTCTTGGGGCTCTTTTGGGGCCCTCTTGGAGCCATCTTGAGGTTTCGGAGGGTCATCAGAAGCGTAAGGGCGAGGCGGCAATTATGATTGATCGTCTCTAGGTCATTGAAGGATTTTGGGTTTCTCGGCGGTTTCCTGAGGAGGCTGTGTGGCCTCTTGGGCCCGTCTTGGTAGCCACCTGGAGCGTTTTTTCTGCCTTCCAGGCCATTTTGGGATCTTTGAGGTTCTCCTAGAGCCATCTTGGGCCATCTTGGGCGCTGCAACGACCCGCGACCCACCCTCCATCAAAATCCAGGGGTGGTGGTGGGAGGGGTTAAGACACTTTTCCCCGACGCAAACTGTTTGGCTCACTCCCTCCCGCTCTCCCAACACATAAGTCGTACCCTAGCCTCAGCATGTTCAGCTCTCGTCTTCGGGTGGATAGCTATTGGAAGCCAATACAGACCGCAGGTTCGCGACGCTGGGAAAGGGGTGCGCCACTCGTGCCGGAGGGAATAACGTAAACCCTTCTTTGAACGGGACGAGAAAGGGCTGGGAGGGAGATGTCCTATCTACCTCCGCCCAGAGGGCAGGCCGCGAGGGGAACGATTGGCCGATTGCGAGCTCACCCACTCCCCCATCAATCCGCGATGCTTTCTGCATTGCCGCGATTGCTCTCTGCATTGCCATCATACCGTGGGGTCGAGGTGCAAAAGACCAGCTGTTTTGTGTTATCAGTCTTATCAGCACTATTGGATTCGGTCTATCGCAACGTCGCGAAAAGTTCCAACAGTCAACAGCCACGCCAGGGTTGCTGCTATGAGCACGTCTCCCCCTGTCACCCTCCGCACCCCCTTCCCCGATCCCCCCTCTCCTTCCCTGACCCCCTCCTGGCCTCTCTTCCCCACTTCCATCCCTCCCGCTCCTCTCTGTTTCCCCTCCTCCTATCAGTCGCCCCCTCCTTCCTGCCCCTCCTCTTCGGGCGGCACCGCGCGGAGGAGGACGCGGAGGAGGAGGCGGAGGAGGAGGCGGACCTCTTCCTCCTCCTCCTCCTCCTCCTCCTCCTCCTCCTGCTCCTCCCTCCTGCTTCTGCTCCTTCTCTTCCCGCGCGCAGCGCAGCCGGGGCCGTTAACGAGGCCTGAGATCCAGCCCGCGGATGCCAGCAGGTGGGCGACCCCCTTGCCTTCGCTGTCGGGTCCGGCCTGCGTCCCCTTGCTTCCCCTCCCCCTCCAGGCTCCGGCTCTCTGCTCGGCAGGGGGCGTCTCGGCAGCCGCTGGCCCTCCGTCGGGCACGCCCCTCTACAGGAGGAGTATCCAAACATAGTCAGAAACTGGTCCAGGGCTGATTGTTGTTTCGTATTTTTGGTTTTCCTTTTGTTATTGTTGCCATGTTTTCAGTTTTCGTCCATTATCCTCCATTAGGAGGACACGCCCGAACCTGACGGTTGCCCGGCTGCGCCCCTTCCCACGGACTTCGGTCTGCCCCTTTCTTTTCTCTGCCGAGGTCCGGCGTTCGTGCCCTGGGTGCGGTCAGGGGACCGTCGTCACCACCACCATGCCCCCCCCCTCGTTCTCCGTCCTCCGTCGTGGGGCCGAGGGGGAATACGGAGGGAGAGGGGGGAGCGCAGTCAACACGCACGGGAAGGACGAGCGACTTTCCAAGGCTGCCCTTGCATCCCTCCCCTTCGGCCCGTCCTTGGCCACATTCGCTGGCCGCGCCCCGCTCGCAGAGTGTCGACGCGGCCTTCCAAGGTCCTTGCATCCTCATCGTGCTTCCTTACTATAATGGCTGACCGTACTCAGGAGGGGGAAGAACACACACAATCACAGAGACACAATGGATCGCCGACTTCCAGGAAGAGCTGGGCACAGGAGGGACGTGAGGGCGAAGACGAACACCCCGAACATGTGGGGAACACGTGGGGGAGCCCTGGCAAGTTGTGCCGACTCCTCTGCGTGTCCCTGGGGCCCTCTCTGTGCCGGGCAGCCGGGTGCGCGCGCGGCGCCCGGCCTCGGCAAGCGCCGGCCACGCGTGGCCGCAGGCCTGCCCGGCGTTCGGCCCTGCACGTGCATGCCCGGGCGCCAGGCATGCGCACAGGCGCGTCCAGGGCGTGGCCTCGGGGCTCGTTTCGATCTCTCCGGCTCGATTCGACTCGGCTTCGGTGGCTTCCGATTTCGAGTCGGCTTTGCATCGCACTCCGATGTCGGCTCCGATGTCTCAACGGAGACCTACTGAACTGCCGATGTCCGCCGATTCGATCTTTCCCGGTTCGGCTGCCGATGTCCGCCGATCCGACTAATTTCGATCGCCGATCCGACTTATCGATTCGATTCTGGGCTCTCCTGCCAGATGTCCCACGCGTGAATCATCCAGCCGTGCGTGTGTCCAGCCTCCCGGTAGGGTCGACGACCCTCAGGACGTGTGTCAGCCCGACGTGTGTTCATCCCGTTCGTCTCCACCGACTGCGCGCAGCCTGCGTCGCCCCCCATGGCAGCGTCTGCGTCTCGTGGAAGGGCTTCGGTGGGCATGCCCACGTTGGCGTCAACACTCGGCGGCGAGCCCAGAGGGGAAGTAAGAACTCAGGAGGGGAAAAAACACACAGCCACAATTAATCGTCGATTCCCAAGAAAATATGGGAAAATATGGGAAGTGGGGGGGAAGACGAAAACCTAGAAAATATGGGAAGATATGGGGAGTATCTTTATTTGTGTATTTATTTGTGTGTCCTGGGGCCCCTCAAGAACGGCACCCTTGACTGGGCCGTAGGCCCCAGCAGAGAGCGCGGCAGGGCTCCTCGGAGGCCTTCGCGCCTTCCCCGCAGGCGCGCATGCCCTCTGCGAGGCCGCAGCCTTCTCAGAAGGCGCAGAAGGTCAGTATCGTTTACCCGATCCCCATCCCCTTCGATACCCCCCACCAAATTACCACCCCAGTTGGGGATATACATCCCTCGAAACCCGAAGGAGACGACCTACATCCCCATCTAGGGGGGTAACTCGGCCAGTGGGGCCCAGGACACGCCGCTGGGGATGGGAATCGGTCAAACGATGCTCAGAAGGGGGCTTCCGAGGAGCCCCGGCGCCCTAGGCGAGGGCCTGCCCCTCTCACTCTCACCCGCCCCCCTCCCCCGCGGGCGCGCCGCCGCAGCACACGCTCCGAAGATCGTCGACAGTCCAGGCCTCCCGGATGGAGTCTTCGCAGACGGGGTCGGAGGATCGCGCCGCATCGCCGCTGCATCGCCGCTTCGGCTCGATGTGGAGCCCGATCTTCTCCGCGCTGGTGTCGCCGCAGCACCGCTGGCGTCGCCGATGCATCGGCAATGCATCGGCAATGCATCGGTGATGCGGCGCGATCCTCCGACCCCATCAACTGGGACCCCATCCAGGGGGCCTCGAGACAGGGGACTGGGATGGAATGGAATGCCCCGAGGCGGAGAGTGCACAGCTTTCAACATCTAGCACAAGCTTGAGAATTACTGGCCTCGCCCGGAGGCTTCGCGTGTACGGATCCGCTCCAGCAGGGCCGACACGCGCAGCTCACAAGAGGGGGCTGCCCCTGTGGCCGAGAACGCAGATCGTCGACACGGGTTGAGGTTGAGGGACAGGACCTGGTGGGTGTTACCCCTTGGAGCCTCCCGGCCCGGGCGCAGGCTCTGGCCTCCGCGTGGCTGCGGGAGGCGCTCGCGAGCACCGAGAACCCCTGCCGGCAGGCTGGGGGGTGCCGGGGGCGAACCGCATGCACTCAGTATCGTTTAACCAACCCACTATGCCCATCTCCGTCCCGATCCTCAAGCAGTGGCGAAGCGTCCTGGCTCGCCGATAGGCCTACCAAATAATGTTCTAAGAACCTTTTTGTGGTTTCAGCGAAATGTTCTTAGAACATGTTTGGCTGGGACTGTCTTGTTTTGACACATTGGGCTTATGTTCTAAGCACACTGCTTTTGTGATTGGTACATTTTGGGGGTTCAAAGAACATGTCGTGGGAGGCTTTTAGGAATGCTGGGACGGTCGGTCCCTGCTCACGATCCCTATCCAGCCCCCTACCATCTCAGCACCCCAGTTGGGGATATACCCCTGGAAACCCAGAGGGAAGTGCCTACTTTATCCCAGTCCTAGGGGGTACGGAGGCCAGTGGGGCGCAGGCCACGCCCATGGAGACAGGAATCATTTGAACGATGCCCAGAACCGCATGCACCCGCCGTCGAAACACATGGTTATATGCTTAAGTCGGGCCTGTCCCTCTACAGGGGTAAGATTCAAACATAGTAGCACAATAGTCTGGGGACTATTTTCTTAGCATGTGTTGACCATTTTAGGGTATTTGTTGAGGATGTTTTGAATTATTCGTCGCAAATTTCCTTGTAGGGGGACACGCCCGACTTAAGTATATGCTCGCTTTGGGCACGTTCCTGGGGGTCATCAAACGAATGTGTTCCACTCTCGTCCGAATCTAGTTCGACTCCTGGTCGACTCCAGCTCGCCTCGAGTTGGGCTCGAGTTCGACTCGAGTTCGACTCAGATCGACGGACGTTCGGCGCGGCAGCGACGAATATGTGGAGCCATGGGCTCCATCAAGGTTCCTGGAGCGAGCATCTGACCATTGTAAGAGTGCAGTCATTGCCGCCTACAACCCGAGTCGATTCGCTAGCTGGGGCCGCGGTCCCACATCGATTCGGTGCCGTTATCCGTTCGGTTCGAGTCACCTACTGGCCATGGCTGGCAAGAGCCAGATGCGGCGATCCGATGTTGGCTCGATTCGGCACGATTTGCTGGCGATCCGATCCGTTTCTGGTCCTGTCCGATCTCGTGATTCGATCCAGCCCAGGACTCGCGGTGCTCCATCGAGGCTACCTCTGCGCCCCTCCACCTGCAGCCCATCATTGTCTGGCCTTGCTGGTCGCGTGCTGCTGGAGCTACTCCAGTTTTGGCGGGGTAGGGGTGCGTCGAGGCGGCGGAAGAAGGACCGCTTTGGGCTCAGGAGGGGCTCGGGTTGTCGGGCCGTTCCTGAGATTCGTGCAGTGGAAGGATCAGAGCCTGAATTACCTACCCCGCTTTCGCTTCCAGGAAAAACCAAGTCATACCACGCGCCTCCTCGTCAAGCGGCCTGACCAGTACAGGCCGTAGTTTGGCATCGTTTGGTATCTCTTGGAAGCGAGGGTGGTCAAAAGCGAGGTAGGTTTGTTTTCCCCCTAAAGGAAGCAGTTTACGGCCTGGGCCCACCGTGGCCGGAAGAGCTCCATCGTTCTTTCCTTATGCGTTCCCTCTGGTAGCGCGACGGCTGTATCGGGGGAGCGTAAGACCCGGGTTTGCCAGGACTCGGGTTCCCCATCGTTTTTTGACGACCGCGCTTCGGATTTTGACGAGGAGGAGTTTCGTGGGATGTCTGCAGCGGGAGGCCTCGTCAAAATGCAGGCTCGGCCTCGTCATTTTTTTGACGACCTCGTCGGGGATTTCCGAGTCCCCTGTACCCAGGTCTTCCGTCCCCCTGACTGTATGGCGCCCTCGCCTTGCATCCTCGGTTGTGGTTCTGCACGTGCCCGGGCTATCCCAGGCGAAGCGAAGGGGAGACGGGCAGCCGAGGGGGGAGTTTGGGGTGAGGTTGCTTGGCATCGCTCGGACGTGTGCATGCTGTTCGTCGGCGGGGACCATCGAGGAGCATCTCGTACCATTCAGCAGCAAAACATACACGCACGACATCGACAAATGCACGGGGACTGGACGTCCGAGCGATGGCGAGGTTCGGGGGAGGGAACTGAGGGGTATGGTGTGCTCGATGTCCGTTCATGTGGGCCTTGGGCGACGCAACTGAAATTTGTTCCTCCTGCAGTTGCACCACATTCGGACATCATTTGGTTCTTCCTCTTGCTCCTCCGCGCCCTTTCTCTCCCTCCTCGTTCTCCTCGTCCTTCTCGTCTCTTCTCTCGCGCCATGCCCTGATCATTGGAAACTGGAAGTTCCCAGTCGCGACCGACGAGATCGATCGCTACCGATTTCGCTTGAAATTTCGGTACCGGTCGCGACCGACTTGCTTCAGCATCGGTCGCGACCGGCGGCGACCGGCCGCGACCCATTTTGAGATCGGTCGCGATCGGTCGCGACCGACTTGGGAGAGCCGATCGGTCGATACCGATCGCGACCGAACACATTCGGTATCCAATGATCTTGGTGGCGGCGCGCGCAGGGAGGGAGGGAAGTGGCGCAGGGAGGAGGAGGGAGGGGACAGGGAGGAGGAGCGCCCCGCCTGCGGAGAGGCCCCAGCAGGCGGGGCGTCGGCGCCAGGCGGCCCAGCGCCAGTGCAGAGGCTGCCTGGTGGGCGGCCCTTGCCGTGGCCATGCTGCGGCGATGCGCGCCGCTCGCCACGCCAGGGGCCAAAGTGTGGCCAGGGCCTCAGTGGAGCGGGGGATTGTGTTTACGAGCGAACGACCCACACACCCATCCCCATAGGGAAGACATGTGTGCGTGCTGGCAGAGGATGGGGGCCCCCGCTCGAAGAGGATCCTTTCCCCGGGGGTCCGGCAACCCGCGCCCATACAAATACCCATAGCGGGCCCTCCTCTCTCCGACCCTCCTGTGTGTCCCGAGCGCGACCACGATGCCTGGGAGGTGGGAAGGGACGGCGGCCCTCAGGGCGAAGCGGCGAATCACCTTGCCGCCCCCCTCTGCGCCACCTCCCCAATGCCACTGCACCATTTGCCACGCGAGCGCTGCGAGCATCATGCTTAGAGTCTGGCCAATGTCAACAAAAAGATGAGGAGGGTAAGGGAGGGGAAGGGGGTCAGGTAATTTCCTCCGCGATCTTAGTCTCTTCGATCTCCGAGACGGCAAACGGGCCAGCAATTCCCGCTTTATGGTGGAAGCAAGCCAAGCCAGCCCGCGAGGCGATGAGCTGGTCGGACCTGCAGTCCGTGCTCTCGCTCCTGAGGTCGTCCCTGTGCAAGCCGGTGGCGTTCACGTCCGCCCGAGACGCATCGCACCTCGGCGTGATCGTCCTGGAAGCGTTCCTGGAGGACGCTCCCTGTGGGCTAGGGAGGTGCAGTCTGCAGGGGCAAAGTTACGGACTGGGCACGACGATGATGCCAGGGCGTTCGATTGGGCGTCGCGTGGTGGGGGGGCAGCGAGGGCCGCAGAACAGGGGCCCTATAGGGCCCCCAGGGGGGCCCTTTAGGGCCCCCAGAAGAGGTCTTTGGGCCCGAGAAGTGCACCTCTCTCTCCTCCCCTCCTCTGCTTCGTTCTGCACTCAGCGACGCCCAACTCGCTGTTCGAGGGTCTCGGGCGTTTTCGCCGGTCCCGGCAGTGTGCCCAGCCTCGGGATGCCTTGTCGGCAGCTGCGCCTCGCCGAGAGGGGCGTTCGGGAGGACCTTTTCCGCCGAGGGGAGCCGAGAGTCGCGGCCCTGGAGCCGGGGGGGGGGGGGCAACGCCAGGGGGGGCATAGGCTCAGGGGGGGCCGCGTCGACCCCCAGGGGGGGATGGGCTCGGGGCTGAGTCGTCTCGGGGGGGTAGGCTCAGGGCTGAGTAGCCTCAGGGGGGGATAGCCTCGGGGGGGATAGGCCAAGGCGGGATAGGCTCGGGGGGGAATAGGCTCAGGAGGTAGTAGGCTCAGGGGGGGGAACACGTTCGGGGGGAGTAGGCTCAGGGGGGGATAGGCTCAGGGAGGAATAGGCTCAGGGGGGAAAAGGCTCAGGGGAGGATGGGCTCACAGGGGGTAAGGCTCAGGGGGGAATAGGCTCGGGGGGGAAAGGCTCAGGGCAGGATCGGCTCGGGAGGGTAGGCTCAGGGGGGACAGGCTCAGGGGTGCAGGGGAGCCATCGCCGACAGGAGACTGATGGCCCTCCCCGCCTCGGACCGTGCGGATCTGTCGGGGGCCTATCGCCGACTTATCGGCGGCGTACGGTCAACCCGCGTAGTAGGGATGAGCGACGTTCCAAGGCTACCCTTGTATCCTTGCCCCTTCGGCCCACCCCTGGCGACTTTCGCTGGCCAACCTCGTTCGAAAAACGTTCACATGGCCCTCCAAGGCCCCTGCATCCTTACCGCACATCCTTATTGTTATGCGGACTGACCGCATCGCCGATGCCAGGTCGATGTTCCCCCCCCCTAGCTGGTGCCCCCTAAGGTTGCCCTTCGCCTGTGGGCTACGGCATCGAGGCAGCGAGGCACTTTGCAGTGAGAGGGAACGGGATCCAGTGCTGCGGTGAATCGGACGGATGTGTGTGCGTGTGTGTGTGTGTATGTGTGTGTGTGTGTGTGTGTGTGCGTCGAGGGGGCTATGGGGAGTGGGCAGCGCAGGCCCTGCCGCGCGGCGACATGGAGTCCTTTGATCCGGAGGCGAACATTCGCTACTCGAGCGGCTGGTCGCATGTCCCGGCGTCCCCCCTGCAGCCATCCCGGGGCTGTCTGACTCGAACGGCCTGCAGCGACGGCAGGGGCCGCATCTGATCGGCTCGCACGGAGATCCTGCCGCGGCGATCGGCTCCCAGGAAGCACGGACCGGAAGCCACGGACCGAGCGAGCCAGCTGATGCTACGGCCTTCCCACGGCGCGTCACCGCCTCGGCCTTACCGCAGGGCGTCGAAAGCCCTTCCCAGGGGCGTCATGGAAGCTGGGGGGGGAGCACGCCGCTCTCCGCAGGCTGCTCGGCGAGGCGTCCGCGGGGGCGGCCCCGCGGGCAGGCTCGGCAGAGCCGCCTCGGGCCGTCTGGGAAGCGGCGCTGCGGATGCCTGCGGCGCGGCGTGGCAGCCGGCGTTAAAAAGAGCCAGAGCGTGCGCTGCATCTGTGGGGGGGGGGCATCCCTGCAGGACCACGGGGGGGCCCTTGGCGGGGAGCCTCTCGGGGAGGGGCCCTCTCGGGGGGCCTCTCGGGGCCCTCCTCGGGGGCTTGAGCAGTCAGGACGCCGAAGCGAGGACCACTTCGGGCTCGGGAGGGGCTCTGGGCTTCGGGCCGTCCCTTCGATCCGGGTGGTGGGGCCCTCTCGTGGCCGAGGCTCGCCGTGGCCAGGGAAGCCCCTTGGTTCCGAGGTCAGCGCTCCTTGTGGTTGCACGATGGCTCTGGGGTCTCGGGGGTCGGGCGCGGTTGTGCTGGCGAGCTTCTCCCGGAGAGGCTCGGCGGAACCGCCCTGAGGCCGCTTGCTCACGACCCGGCCAATGATGGACCGATGACCCGTCGGGTCGTGGGTCCGACTTGGAGCCCTCTCGCGACTTCTCGGACCCTCGATCCCTGAAGCATGCGAACATCACGCGTGTCAGGAAGACGGAAATTTACACTGCCCGCGTGGTGTCGACGTCGTTGTATAGCCTGGAGACGCTTTGTTTACACCAGGCGGACAACAACCATATCGATGCCTTCCAAGCTCGTTGTCTAAGACGAATATACAACAGGTGACAAGCAATGATCTCGCGCATATCGAAGGCAGCAGTCAGGCGGCAAGCTCGCCAACATCGACTGCGCGTTGCAGTGTTGATGCGGCAATTGGTGGTTTAGTGGCGGATTGCTTCCCAGCCAGACGAGTCGCCACTGCGGGCTGCTGTTCTGGCGCCTGGGTCACTGGAACTCAGACTGGAACGAGCGCGACCGGCTGGCGCTCGAGCGCGAGGACGACCCCGCCAGAGATGGACAACGGTGATCTGTGAGCAGGCTGAGCTAGCGATGACCTCTTACCCTCGCCACCTCCCGCTTTTCCCGCTCCCTCCCCTCTCGTCTACCTCCTGACTCCTTCCCTCCTGATGAGGCGCTGTAAGCATTATTTAGGAGCCCTCGTTTTGCACTTTTCCCTCTGCTGAGCCGATGTGTCGTGCGACGTGGCTTGCGAACGAACGAACGAACATGGGGTCTTGGGCCTGCGGCTAAGGGGCTCATGTCCTTGACCCACGGAGGAGGGGGTGGAGTGACGAGGAGGAAGAAGGACAACGAGGAGGAGGAGGAGGAGAAGGAAGGGGGAGGAGGAGGAGTGAGGAGGCAGGTGGGAGCAGGGAGGAGGGAGGAGGTGGAGGAGGAGGAGGAGAAGGAGGAAGAGGAGGAGGAGGAGGAGGAGGGAGGAGAGGAGGGAGGGAGGAGGAGGAGGAGGGAGGGAGGAGGCGAGGAGGAGGAGGAGGGAGGAGGGGGAGGAGGAGAGGAGGAGAGGGAGGAGGAGGGAGGAGGGAGGGAGGAGGGAGAGGAGGGGAGGAGGGAGGAGGGAGGAGGGAGGAGGAGGGAGGGAGGGAGGAGGGAGGGAGGGAGGAGGGAGGAGGGATGAGGGAGGAGGGAGGAGGGAGGAGGGAGGAGGGAGGAGGGAGGAGAAGAAGGAGAAAGAGGAGGGAGGAGGAATGGGAGGAACGGGATGAGGAGGAGGAGGAGGAGGAGGAGGAGGAGGAGGATTTTTTACATCAACGCTCAGAGCCTCAGGTCAATGAGGAAAGTGATGAAGGAGTAGCCGAAATCGAAGAAGACGTGATAGTCCCAGGAAAGCGGTAGCTCCCAGCATCTGTTGGAGTACAACGCAAAAGCCGAACATTTCATAGGAGATCCAATAACTGAAACAACAACCCAGTAACGCCGTAGATCACGTCGGACTGCTGAGCCCATACAAAAGTGCCGATAAGGGCCGCTCCAGGAAACAAAGCTCTGCACGAGAAAAAAACAGTGCCACACGACGCCACACGCCGTAGATCTCGTCGGACAGCTGAGCCCCTCCAGAACGCACCAAGTAGGCCGTACCAGGAATCAAAGCACCGCACGCGAAAAAAAAACAATGCCATATGACGCCACGAGCCGTAACCCCAGAAGCTGGATATCCTGAAATGGGCAATCACGGAGAACAAGTACTCCAAGAAGAAAACAACGACGCCGAAGATGAAGAAGGCGGACGGAACAAGAACCCCTCGCCTGGGTCAGGTGGAAGACCCACAGGACACCACACACGTGACTGCCGAGCACGCACAGGAGGAGGAGGAGGAGGAGGAGGAGGAGGAGGAGCCATCTTTCGACTGCGTGCCCTCGTCCTGCCGAGACGCGGGACCGGCGGCCTGCTGGTTCTGCGGCCCGGCCGTCCTGTGGAGTTCCGCGGTGGAGGGGCTGGTGCTGGACACGCCCGCAGGAGGGCAGCCGCTGTGAGCCCAGGTCTGTAGGGTCCAGGGAGCCCGCACAGGAAGGCCGAGCGACCTTCCAATAGTAATCAGGAGGGGGAAACACACACAGACAGACACAATTGACCGTCGATGTCCAGAAAACTACTGGCAAATATGTACAGGGGGGAAGGGGGGGGAGACCAAAATCCAGAACATATTGAAACATATGGTGAATCCTGGGACTTGTCTGTATTTACTTGTGTGTCCCAGGGCCCCTTGATGTAAGGATGAGCGACTTTCCAAGGTTACCCTGGCAGCCTTCTCCCTCGGCCCATCCATGGCCACTTTCGCCGGCCGCGCCCCGCCCGCAAAGTGTCGGCATGGCTCTCCAAGGCCCTTGCATCCTTATCGTGCGTCCTTCTCATACGGGTTGATTGTGGGTTCGTGACGTGTCGACGCGGCTGTGACCCTGCCGCGGGCGTTCAAGGGTTCGTCGTCGCCAATGCAGGCCTCCCAGAGGGGGTCAGACTGCATGGGCTCGGAAGATCGCGCCGCATCGCCAATGCATCGGCAATGCGCCTCGATGTGGAGGCCGATTTTCTCCACGCAGACGTTGCCAATATATCGTTGACGTCGCCTATGCATCGCCGATACATCGACGATGCATCGGCGATGTGGTGCGATCCTCTGACCCCATCTACTCATTCCCTATGTGGGTAGCCTCTAGACAGTGGCCTCTGAGAATCGCTCAACATGTAAGGATCTGGCGATTCTATAGCCGCCAGTCGTTCAAAGTTGAACGAATGCGCGCAAGTCTGGGTGTGAGTGAGTCTGAATATGAGTATGATGAGTACGAGTCTGAGTATACGAATGAGTTTGAGCATACGTGAATCTGGGACATCCTCGCAATCTGTCCACCTTGTGAAAGGAAACCAGCGCCTCGCCCGAGACATCCTCAGACTCTGCTCTGAACGTAGACGAGTCTGGCCAGCAAAACAGGCAAACCGCTCGAGACATCCTCGCAATATGCGCCCCCCTGGGGTGCAACAACTAGCGCCTCGTCCGAGACATCCTGAGAATCAGTTCCGACAGCGGAGGATGATGAGCACCACAACAGGCAAACCGCTCGAGACATCCTCGCAAACTGGGCGCGAACGGAGGAGTGAGATACCCCCTGGCGGTTCCCGTTTGGGTGTGTTGAAACAAGCGCCTCGCCCGAGGCATCCTCTGAATCTGCTCCGCCATCATCATCATCATCATCATCATCATCATCATCGTCATCATCATCATCATCATCATCATCATCAGCATCATCATCGTCGTCAGCTGCATCATCATCACCATCATCAGCATCACCATTGATCATCATCGCCATCGTCGTCATCATCATCAGCATCATCATCATCTTTATCCCCATCAACAGCATAGTCACGATACTATTCATAATCATAATCAGCACCACCAACACCACCACCATCATCATCATCATTATCATCATCAGCATTCTCGTCATCATCGCCGTCATCTTCATCAGCACCATCATCATCGTCATCCTCATCATCATGCTCATCATCAGGATCAGCATCAACACCACCATGCACATACGCATCACCATTACCATCTTCGTCACCGGCATCGACAGCACCATTACTGTTGCCATCATCATCAACAACACATTCCTGCCCAGTATCACCTTCAGACCACCGTCAGCATTGTCAGCATCACCAGCATCATCGCCATCATCATACTCACAATCATCATCTTCAGCAGCATCATCAGCATCAGCATCACCACCAACAGCATCAGTGTTGCCACCACTCTCAACAACACCGTCCTGTTCATCATCGAGATTATCATCTGTTTGATCATCACCATCGGCGTCATCATATCATAACCTTAACAGTGGCCCTGCGTGTGTACATCTTGCGTGGGGAGGAGCAGGAGGGGGGTGAGGGTGAGGAGTCGGCGCGGTCAGAGTAGCAGCAAGACCCCCATCCTTTGGACATGGTGACAACATTGTTCTGGTGCGATTCGACTTTGTAGTCGGTACTCGAGACGTTGGGATGGATCGGCTCAGGGCGGGGGCGGCATCGACTTCCAATCGCCCGCTCATGGTCGATGGGGGCCCGATAGCCCGCCCCGCCTAGGGGCGTGCGGATTCGCTACCGGGGGCCTGTCGCCGATCTATCGGCGATGCATCGCCGATTTCCAGGTCGGCTAAGGAGGAGGATCGAGGCCAAGGAGGATTGGGAGGAGGAGGATGAGGAGGAGGAGGAGAAGGAGGAGGAGGAGGAGGAGGAGGAGGATCTAAGATCGAGGAGGAAGGGGGGGGGAGGCGGGGGGGAGGAGGAGGAAGTAGAGGGGGAGGGGGAGGAGGAGAGGGGGAGAAGGAGAGGGGGAGTAGGAGAGGGAAGGGAGGACCAAGAAGGCGGGCGTTCTCCCACGCGCCTGGGCGCACTTTTCCCCGGCCACCCCAGGGGCTGTACCCCGCGCTCGGGGATCCGCCGTCCGTCTCCCCCCCCCTGAGCTGTCCCCCTCCCCGCCTATCGTTACCCCTCGCACGCCGGTCGTTGAACGGAGGACTCCCAGATCCCAGTCTGCTTCAGGCGCCTGCCTGCTTCAAGAACATCGGTGTGCTTTTGCTGTGTCTTGTGACACATTGTGGTGCCCTGGGAAAGGCCTGTGCCCAATCTGATCTGCTCGCCTTCCTGTTCAGGGCTTTTGCGTACTTCCCCCGATTGGCCCCACGCAGGAGCGGACTGCCTCTGCCTCGCCGCCGACGACCGAGTTTTTGCAGGAGGGAAAAAACACACAGACACAATTAATCGTCGATTGCCCACAAAATATAGGAAACTATGGGAAGCGGGGGGAAGACAGAAATCCAGAAAATATAGGAAAATATAGGGAATCCTGCTATGTGTGTGTATTTATTTGTGTGTCCTGGGGCCCCTTCAGGGACTTGGCGCGTTCCACCTGAAGAGAGTGGCACCTGAAGAGAACGGCTGACAAAAAGCGTGTGCCAGATGTTCAAAGCTGCGCGCTCTCCGCCTCGGGGCCTTCCCTTCTGTCCCATTCCCCGGTCTGGAGGCCCCCTTAAAATGGGGTCCGAGCAGATGGGCTCGGGGGAATCGCGCAGCATCGCCGATGCATCGCCGGTGCGGCTCGGTATGGAGCCCGATTTGCATCGCGTCGATGGTGCATCGCCGATGCATCGCCGAGGCATCGCCGATGTATCGCCGATGTATCGGCGATGCGTCGCGATCCTCCGACTCCATCTGCCAGGACCCCATTTAGGAGGCTTCCAGCGACCTCTAGCATTTCACCGGGACCTTCTCGAAAGGCCAGCGTGCTAAGCACGCCTGCCGTCTGTCCTCGGGCCGCCCTCCCGGGTGTGGACATGTGCGTTCTCTGTTCTGCGTTCCCGAACATTTCACAAGGACCTTGCTAACCAGGATCACATTTCGGCCCAGGGCCGCAGTTCTCTCGGGCGCGCCAAAGTCTGTGGTCAATCAGCGTCCCTGTTGTGTCAGTGTGCCCTGAGGCAGCGGCGGCCGGCGGGGACTTCGGCATACCCCTCGTGCCAGGGCTCGGGCTAAACGGTAGTCTGGCGATTTCGTGGGCCGTTTCCGTTCTGCGTTCGTTTCGCAGCGAAGGCAGAACAAGGACAGAACGGGTGACATCGACAACAAAACGAACACGAATTAGCCTGGCGAAGAATCCAACCAGCTGCAGTTGAGGGTACCGAATCGGGTGGGGCTCCCTGTGGGGCTCCCTATGGGGCCACGAAGCGTGTGAGGGGTGTGCCAACATGGGTGCGGTTGGCGCGTGCGAGCGTTGGCATTTGGGCCTTCGGTGGGGCTCCCTATGGGGCGACGAAGTATGTGAGGGGTGTGCCAAAAAGGGCGCGGTGGGCGCATGCGAACGCAGGCGTTTGGGCCTTCGGTGGGGCTCCCTATGGGGCCACGAAGCGTGTGAGAGGTGTGCCAAAATGGGCGCGGTGGGCGCATGCGAACGCAGGCATTTGGGCCTTCGGTGGGGCTCCCGATGGGGCCACGAAACGTGAGCGGTGTGCCAAAATGGATGCGGTGGGCGCATGCGGACGGTCGCATTTGGGCCTTGCGATGGGGCTCCCTATGGGGCCACGGATCGTGTGAGCGGTGTGCCAAAGTGGGTGCGGTGGGCGCATGCGACCGCTGGCAGTTGGGCCTTCGGTGGGGCTCCCGATTGGGCCACGAAGCGTGTGAGGGATGCGGTGGGTGCATGCGAACGTTTGCATTTGGGCCTTCGGTAAGGCTCCCTACGGGGCCGCGAAACGTGTGAGCGGTGTGCCAAAATGAAAAGGGTGGGCGCATGCGAAAGCTGGCATTTGGGCTTCCGGTGGGGCTCCCGGCTCTTTATGGGGCCACAAGGCGTGTGGGCGGCGGTGTGCCAAAGTAGTTGACTGGTTCGGAGGGCGGAGAGGCAGGGATCGGAGGAGGAGGGGGGAGGGGGCAGGGGGGAGGGGGCAGCGGGAGTGAGGGAGGTGACGCGGGGCGGTGTGTCTTCAAAACGAGGACCCAACACGACAGGCTGGTTGGGAATGGACACTGCCCAGCTCGAGCCCCGGCGCCAGCTGCACACCGACCCACATCTTGGCCAGGCCCATCCCGAGCCCAGGGCCCGTGCATGCGCCTCCCTTGCCGAGCCAGGAGGGCCTGCGCGCCGGTGCTGGGCCCAGGAGGGGCCCCGGCTTGGTGCCCTCTCCGGCCTCCCCGGTCGGGATGCTCGTCGTGCTGGGCATCTCCCATGGGGTCGCTGGGCCTGCCGCGTGCGCTTCGTGGCCCCATTGGGGCGCTCCGCCGAGGGCCCCATGGGGCCAGCGTGCAGCTGGCCGCGCCCCCCCCCCCCCCCCAGAGAGGGCGGAGGTGGCCGCGTGCCTCGCGCGGCGCGGTCTGGGCCGCCCTGCCTCTCCCCAGGGCGCGGGTGGCGCGGCGGGCGCGAGGGCGCGCAGAGGTCATCGCGCGACGCGCCTCGCGCGGCGCGTCGCGAGGGGCGTCCCACCAGGCGCGTCGCGCCTCGCGGGGCGCGATGCGCGAAGTTGGGTGACGCGTAGGCAAGCTGAGCCAGGTCTCGTTTGCTTTGGACTTCTGCGGGGAAGCTCGGCGGGTCCTGCCGCGGACTGGATCGCCGAAACGACGAGGCTGTGCCTTCAGGAATTTGTCTCGCAGACGTGGGGTTCAAAGAGGACGCCGTCAGGGATGAACACAGACGTGCCAGTTTCGAAGTTGTGGGGTCCCTGGATGATAGTGAAGTCTCGGACTGCGATGAACACAGAGCTCCATAGATTGTGCATGTGCTGATTGGGACCACAGAAGCCGCTTGCCGATCTACTATGTGAGGAGCGTGTCATGGCGTCAGGCGCAGCGCATGGAGAAACAACGCTCCAGCGATAGTGAGCTCGTCAGAGCGCTACGGTGAGAACTCGATGCTCGCGCTCTTCGACGTGTCCCTCGAGTCCTGGCTGCCAAGGAGCGCAGGGGCTTTCTAGGTGTTCTGGCGAGCCTTCATCTTGCCAGTCAGTCGCCCGTTCGAGACCAGAGCCTCAAGACGGCTTCGATTTCCTCGCCAAGGCGATTTGCTGTTTCGGATGGCAGTGTTCGTATCGACGAGCCTGGGGCCACCACCAACGTTTGTTGAAGGATTGGGGGCCCACACCTGCGAGCCTAGGGTCGAACTGCATACCGAAATCATTTGGCAAGCGAAGATGTGAGATCCATCGCGCTAGCGCAGGTCGCACTTCAGGGGAAGCAGAGGCGAGCGTCTCAGCTCAGCAGCAACCCGTGCAACCTGATGGAGATGAATTGACCCCGTCTCATGTGAATTCTGCCGCTCGTGCTACAAGTCACTGGGTGACAGGCGTTTGATGCGTCTCGGCATGGCCGGATCAGGGTTGCTCGGCATCGATCGGGTTGACCCAAAAGGTGGGTCCAGCGACAAGGGGATGATGCAACAGATTTGGTGCAATAGATTGGTTGGGTTGCAATGCATTCGGGGCGCAATACATTCGGGGGCGCAAATGTATTGCTGGATTTTCGCGTGCAATACATTCGTCGCAATGCAAAGCAATACAATTCTCTGGCGCAATACATTTGCAATTCAATTGCCCCCTGGCAGTTGGACCCCCTTCTGGATCACCCAAAATCCATCGGGCTTGGTACTCCAATGCAGAAGTCCAGAGGTTGGCGGAATTCCTCTGGCGTTGCATCTTTTGGTCCGTGGCGTGGGCTACCTCCCCAGTGATCTCGACCGCTTCCCCACGGGCCAGCTTTTCATCCCGCGTCGCCCTGACGGCATCCCCAGTGCTGGGAAACGGCCTGGGTTCCGGAGGCAAGACACGTTGACGTATTTTGCGTCGGGCCATTCCCACCAAGGAGTTTCGGTCCATTGGTGCCCGTCCTGGGTGTCCCTGCTTGATGTATGTCTGTGATGTATGTTCTTTGTGCTTGATGGTGCTCTCTGTTTTTGACGTATGCTCAATATCACTGCTTCTGATGTCTGGCATTGGTATCTGCTGTCTGGGCATGTTCTCCATGTATGGTCTGGACGCTTGGTTAGTCAATGATGTATGGTTGGTGAGTTTAAGTTTCGCATATGCGTGTGTATATGATCCCGGGCTCCGGGCCCACGAGCACCCACCCCCCCAGATGGGATGGGTCCCGAGGCCTTTCGGGCTCCCCCCCCCGGATGGGATGGGGGAGACGACGACGACGACGACGACACCGTCCGCTCCTCCTCCTCATCTTCCTCCTCCTCCTCCTCCTTCTCCGCCTCCGCTTCCTCCTGCTCAGGAGGGCCCGACCGCCCCCGACCACCCCACCACCACCACCACCACCACCACCACCGGCACCACCACCAGCACCACCACCACCACCACTACCACCACCCCACGCACACCACCACAGGGGGGGGGCAGGCCTGACCCCACACCCACCACCGCACGCCCACGGGGGAAGATCCCACCATACCACGCCCACAGCGCGGAGGGGGGCCCGTCGCGCGGGGGGGGGGGGCGATGGCATCAGCATGAGGGGGGTGGGGTGCCCAGACTCTAGGCCATATATATATATATATATATATATATATATATATATATGTATAAAAATGTTTATGCATGTATACATATATATATAGATATGTGTATACGGTAGGTTCGCGTCGTGTCGACCAGCGGCGACCCCGCCGCCGACGTTCAACGTTGAACGCCGACGGCGGCCCAGAATCGGTCGATGTTGAACGATCGGACGTTGCGGAGACGGCCGATCGTTCAAGGTTGAACGATCCAGCGCGGTGTCAGGAACCAACGCCAGGGTCGACACGGCACGGACCTGCAGTATATGTGTATGAATAAGTAGATGATCGAGGTGTAGGTGTGCATATACATATATATATATATATATGGATATTCTCATACGCACCTCTCCCAGGGAGTAGAGCTCAGAGGCGATTAATGCGCACGCGTTCGCGATTTTTCTGGCCGTTTCGCTCGGGACATCCTCGAAATTCTGAAAATCGGTGGCACTCCTCACGCAGATCGTGACGTCAGGGTCCAAAACACACATGGGAATTTCAACATTTTAACATAAAACCTTCAAACACACATGGTAATTTCAATACTTTTGACCCCGATTCTCAGAGAATGGCGGTTTCGCATGAAAAATCCTTCCAAAATCGAGCCCCAGACCCCTCCTCGGAGCCTCCTGGGGGCCTCCTGGAACCTCCTGGGGCCTCCTGGGGCTTTCTGGACCTTCTGGTACCCCAGACCCCGCCTCGGAGCCTCCTGGAGTTCTCCTGGGCCTGCTGAGGCCGCCTGGGGCCTCCTGGGGCCTCCTGGGGCTTCAGAACTACATGCACACACAGAGACACAAATCACGCCCAACACATCACACGCTAGACAAACATAACATACACACACACACAACACCGACAACACACAAAAAGCACGCACCACACAAAGCACACATCACACACACACAACACTCACAATCCTGGGGCCTCCTGGAGCCTCTTCTGGTATCCAAGTCGGGCCTCCTGAGGCTTCCTGGGGGGCCCTGGTACACACATCGCAAGGTGTGGCAACCCCACTTGCGCTCGAGTGCGACTTCGCTGTTGCATGTCAGTCCTGCTTCAAACGCCCCTTCAGCTTGTTGTATGAGCCTGGGCACACACGTGCCACTTGTAATTGGGATGGGGTCCTGGCGGGCCCGGAGTGCACTTGTTTGTCTTCCAGCCGTTTTGGACCCGGCGAGGGTGCCAGATCGCGTCAAAGGAGGGGAAGGGGGGCGACGAGAGGGCCCGAGAGACGTCCAAGAGGGCGCCAAGATGGTCCAATAGCGCTCCAAGAGAGCCCCAGGCCGCACAAGAGCCTTTTACAATTGGTCCAACATGGCTTGAAGATAGCCCAAGGCGGCTTCAAGACGCCCAAGATGCTCTCAAACGGACTCCCACGAGAAACACAGGAGGCGAAACAAGTAGTTAGTTTTGCATGGTTTTGAAGGTTTTCCGCGTTCTCGCTGTTTCGTGTTTCTGACGGTCCAAGACAGCCCACGAGGCCCCAGAAATCAGCTCAAGACGGCCCAAGAGGCACCCAAAGAGGCCGCCACACGAGCGAAATAGAGTCCCAAGACGGCGGCCCCAAGACGGCCCAAGAGGCGCCCAAGATCGCCCAAGAGGGCCCCAAGACGGCCCCAAGAGGGGCCCAAGAGGGGGAACACGAACCGACAATTCGAGCCTTCCGCCCCAAGAGGCCCCCGGGAGGCCCCAAGAGGCATCCCAGAGAACCCAAGAGGTCCCCTAGAGGCCCCGCAAAGGCCCCACGAGGCCCCAAAGCGGCCCCGATAGAGGCCCAAAAAGAGGCCCTGGGAGCACCCCAAACGGCCCCCAAGAGGCCTCCAAAACATGCCGGTGCATAGCAAAGGACCGTCTAGGCTATCGTGGCATCGCAGCGTTGCATGACATGACATGGCACGGCACAGGGCGACAGAGCTAATCGTGTCAGTGCATATCACAGTATGTTTCAGCATGCCATAGCATTGCATCCCATAGCAGCTTTTTAGCTGAGCCTAGCACTGCACGTCATGACGTACTATTGCCTAGCATGGCATTGCATCTCAATTCTTTGCAAATATCACAACGCCGTTGTTGTTATTACTGTCGTCCTGTTTGTTTTAGCCTAGCAGCTCAAAACTCAAAACATGGCATTTCAATGCAATGCAGTGCATCGCCCGACATGCCGTGTGCGCGTATACCATGCAACGCGATAGCATCGCTCTTCGTAGGAATCATAGCATGATATGGCGCATCGTGCCATCTCATATATTATCATAGCATTTTAGAGCACAGCGTGGCATGGCATGCAATGCGCACTGTAGGGTGTACCGTGGTAGTGAATTGCATACTGCATCGTGACATTACGTCTTATAACATAACATTGTGTATAATGGCATTTCACAACATCGTCTAACATGGCGCTGTAGCGCTGTATTTTCCTGGCCCCTAACTGTGCGACAGATCACCGGTCGCCCGGTCAATGAGAGCGGAGGAGGAGGAGAAATGAGGAAGAGGCAGGAGGAAATAGAGAATGCTGACCTTATCATTCATTATCGCTTTGTTTTCTCAATACGGCTAGTACTCGATTAGCTAAAACCTAAGCGCGCGCGAAGCGCGCGCGATGGTTCTTTTGTTTATAAATACACAGATACATTTACGCGTGTGTATGTATTTATGTATGTATGTATGTATGTATGTATGTAGGTAGGTAGGTAGGTAGGTAGGTAGGGAGGCATGTCTGTATGTATGGATAGCTGTAGGTATGTGTGCATGCATGTGTGGTTGTATGTATGTATGTATGTATGCATGTATGTATGTATGTATGTATGTATGTATGTTTGTATGTATATATATGTGTGTAATCATGCATGTAACTATGTATGTAATGCATGGATGTGCGTACGTATGTATGCATACATGCATATGTATATGTATACGTGCATGTGCATGTGCACGTGTACGTGTATATGGTTGTGTGTATATGTATGCATGCATGTCTGCCTGTCTGCCTGCCTGTCTGTATATATATATATATATATATATAAATATATACATGTATGTGTGCATGTATGTCTGTCTGGCTGCCTGCATGCATGCACGTGTGTATGTATGTACGTGTATGTATGGATGTAAGTGTACAAATATGTATGTGTATGTATGTATCTGGTCGATGCCTGTTCTTGTTGGAGGTCTGGACTTGCGACGCCGCGACTGCCCAGGGTCCTCGTGGGCCGGCGCCGCCCGGGTCCCCGCGGGGCAGCAGCGGACTCTCCCGCGCCTCCCCGGCTGGACAGCTGTCCGCCGGCGCGTCGTCCACCGCGGGGGCCCGCCGCCACCACAGGTAGTTAGGAGGGGTAGGGGGTCCTTTCTCCTCCTCCTCCTCCTCCTCCCCCTCCTCCTCCCCCGCTTCCTCCTTCTCCTTT